AGTCAAGGGTTCAGATCCTTGTACTGGCCACCCACAGCAAAAAAACCAAAAAAACATAAATTTTAGTTGTAGTTGGAGATTTCAACACTTCCCTCTCAACAGCTGATAGAACAGAAAGAAAGAAAACACAGATTTAAAACATCAGAAATAAAAAAGGGAGCACCATTATAGATCCTGCCAACATTAAAAGAATAATCCTGAAATATTGTGGTCAAATTTATATCAATAAATTCAACAACTTAAAGGAAATAGACATACTCCTTGAAAAGAACGAATGATCAAGACTGACACAAGAAGAAATATAAAATCTACATAGCCTGACTTCTGAGTTTAAACATTAAATTTATAATTTAAAACCTTTCCACAAAGAAAATTCTAGGCCTATAAGGCTTCACTGTTGAATGCTATCTAACATTCAAAGAAGATATAATACCAATCCAACACAAACGATTTCAGGTAATAAAGGAAGAGAAAGCACTTCTCAACTATCTTTTTGAGGCCAGCATAACCCTGATGCCAAAAACCTGAAGAGCATTACAAGAAAAAAATTACAAAACAATACCCTTTGCAACAGAGATGACAAAAGTCTTAACAAAGTATTAGCAAACTTAATCCATAAAAATATAGAAGAAAACATGTACATTATGAGCTAGTGGGCTTATCTCAGAAATTAACCAATTAATATAATTCACTACATTAATAGATTAGGGAAAATTAACCTTTTGACAAAGTTCAATATCCATGAAAAAAAAAAACTCTCAAAAAAGTAGAAATACAACAGAACTTCCTCCATCCGTTAAGGCATAGTGCAGGGTTTCTTCACCTCGACGCTACTGGAATTTTGCCTAGATAATACTTTTTTGTTGGGGGAGGAGGGGATGGCACATAGGAGGCTGTCCTGTGCACTGTACGATGTTTAGCAGTATCCCTGTCCTCAGTGTCAACACCCCCCCTCCAAGTTGTGACAACCAAAAATGTCTCCAGACATTGCCAGATGTCCCCAAGGAGGAGGGAAATCATCCTCAGTTGAGAACCATTCGTTGTGTTAAGGATATCAACAGCAGCAGCAAAACACTATAGCTGGGCCGGCCCAGTGGCGCACTGCTACAGTGCGCCGCTTGGGAAGTGCAGCGGCGCTCCCGCCGAGGGTTCGGATCCCACATACAGACCGGTTCCCGCTCACTGGCTGAGTGAGGGGCGGGTGCAGCGCCGAGGGTTGCGATCCCGTTGCCGGTCCCGGTCCGGTACGGGCGTGACACTGAGGGTTGCAGTCCGTTGCCGGACACGAAAAAAGACAAAAAAAAAAACAAAACACTATAGCTAACATCATACTTAATGGCGAAATATTTAACACTTTCCCATAATATTGAAAACAAAAAAAGGAAATTCCTTTTTACCACTTCTGTTCAGCATTATAGTGAATCTCCTAGTCACTGAAAGAAGGCAAGAAAAAGATATAAAAAGCATATAAACTAACTAGAAAGAAGTAAAACTGCCTTTATTCACAGATGGCATAAGTGTGTGCTTAGAAAACCCTAAGGAATCTACAAAAATAAAAAACTACTAGAATAAATAAGTGCATGTAGGAAAGTCACAAAAATAAAAGCCAACATACAAAAAAAAAATCATATTTCTACATACTAGCAACAAACAATAGTTAATGAAATTTTAAAAACAAAACCATTACAATAACATCAAACCCATCAAATTCTAAGGCTAATTTAACAAAAGATGTGCAAAATCTCTATTCTGAAAACCACACGATATTGCTGAGAGAAATTAAAGGCCTAAATAAATGGAGAGATATGTTCATAGATATGAAGAATCATTGGTGTTAAAGTTCTCCCCTAATTGATCTATAGATTCAACATAATAGCAATTCAAATCCCAGCAAGTTTTACTGTAGAATTGACCAGCTGATTTTAAAATGTATATGGAAATGCAAAGGACCTAGAATAGTCAAAACAATCTTGAAGAAGATCAAGTTGGAGCACTATCTGGTTTCAAGACTTATTATAAAGCTACAGTTGTCAAGACAGTGTTATATTGGCCTAATGAAAGACCAACAGATCAATAGAACTAAACAGAAATAAACTCACACATATATGATCAATTGATTTTTGATAAGGATGCCAAAGCAATTCAACAGATAAAGAAGTCTTTTCAACAAATAGTGCTAGAACAACTGGATAACCATATGGAAAAAAACAAACTTTGATCCCTGCCACACATCATACACAAAAATTAATTTAATATGAACCAAACACCTAAATGAAAAAGCCAAAACTAGAAAGCTTCTAGAAGAAAACAGAATATCTTTATGACCTTTGGGTTAGCAGAGATTTTTTAGGCAGGACACAAAAAGCAGTAACCATAAAAGAAAAGGTTGCTAAGTTGGATTCATCAAAATGAAAAGCTTCTGCCACCATTAAGAAAATGAATAGGCAAGGCCCAAAGTAGGAGAAAATTACACACACACACACACACACACACACACACACACACACACACACACACACACGTGTGTATGTATATGATAAATAATTTTTATCCAGAATATTTCAAGAACTCCTACAAATAAGACAAAAACCAAGCAATTAAAAAATTAGCAAAAACATGAACTCAAAAGAGCATACATCCATGGTCAATAAGCACATCAAAAGTGTTCAGTATCCTTAGTGTTGACGAATCTTCAGATTTGCATCAAAGAAATTCAGAGTAAAACCATAATGAGATCCCACTTTAACACACATTAGAATTATTAAAATTAAAAAGACAAATTACAAAATGTTAGTGAGCGTGGAAAGCAACTGGACGTCTCATACATTGTTGGAAGTGTAAAATGGTACAACTATTTTTGGAAGCTATTTAGCACTTCTTATAAAGTTAAACATACACTTACCATGTGACCCACCTATCCCTCTCCTACTACTTACCCCACAGAAGTTAAAACAATGCCACAAAAAGAGATGGCACAAGAATGAACATTCCCCTACGATAGTCATTGATAATAAATATAAGTTGTAGCTTTATTCTTGATGGCCCAAACTGTAAGCAACCCCAGTGTCTACCAGTAGGTGGTAGGTAACAAATCTTAGCATGTTTATTCAACCAGTGGAATACTATTCAGTAATAAAAAGGAATTAACTATTGATATATGCAAGAACATGGTTGAATTTCAGATGTTATATTCAATGTAACAAGCCAGACACAAATGACTATGTACTTTATGAATCTATTTATGTGAAATCCAAGAATAGGCAAAACAGATATGTAGAGATGGAAATCAGTAATTGCCTCTGGGGTGCAGGGAATACACTGGAAAGGAGCCCATAGTAACTCTGGAGTGATGAAAATTGGGGTGTTGCTTACATTGGGTCATTTGACAAAACTCATTTAAGTATACATTTAGTACCTGTGCTTTTTATTGTATGTAAATTACAGCTCAATAAAAACTGAGTTCTATGTTTGAAAAGCTCCCAGGTGATTCCAATGAGCACACTAGATTGAGAACCATCATCTGTTAGGGCAGTGCTGTCCAGTAGAAGTCTCTGTGATGTTGGAAACATTCTGCACCTGCACTGTCTAACATGGTAACCACAAGCCACATGTGGTTATTGAGCACTTGAAATGTGGTGAATGCAATGAAGTGTGGCAAATGCAACTGAGGAACTGAATTTAAAATTTTATTTCATTTTAATTTAAATAGCCATAGGCTTCTAAGGCCCTAGAAGAATTGCCACCTGAGCCCTCTCCCCTTCATTGTGTAGAGGCTCTCAAACTGTAATGGGCATTATGAATCCCCTGGGAATCTGTATCAGTAAGCCTGGGGCGGGTCCAAGATTCTGCATTTCTAACAGGCCCTCAAGTGATACTGCTCCTCCACGGAGCCCACTTTGACTAACAAGGCGGTAGATTAATTACCTTCTCTTTATATAAAACGTGAAAGTATAGATGTCAGAGAAGTTTTCTAATCAGGAGAACAGAAGACAGATGAGAATCTGGCAGCATTTAGTTAAATGAAGCAAGCACAGTGTTTATTGCCCAGTAACCCCCATTCCCAAGTGTATATCCTAGAGAAATTCTCACACAAGCCCCATAAACAGATGATCATTTTGATGTTTGTGATCACAGGGGTGGGCTCATTATTTGAGGAATCGAATATAAAATATGTGTTTTAAATACATACCATGGAGTACAGTGCAGCAGTCAGGAACAACAAACCAGATGTACATTCAACAACATAGAGATATTGCCAAAAAATTGAGTGAAAAGAATAAGAAAAAGAAATCTATGTATAGCACAATGCCACTTAATGGATGACACACACAAAACAACATATTTTTTCACGAAGAAACACCCATATTTAAGTCAGGCACATGAAAGGAGGAAGCTATGAAAGCAGGAAAAAGAATGAACTCAGAGATGAAGGAGGAAAAACAGATTAAACAGACTTTACTGTCAGTTGAAGTTGAGGAAAATGTGTCATGAACGGGTTCGATTAACGCAGCACTCTGAACTCGAGGTCCAAAAGCAGAGAAAATTCCGAGTGTATTAGTTTACTATACATTTTGTTTCCATAACAAAGTTCCACAGACTGGGTGCCTTAAAACAACAGAACGTATTGTCCTGCAGTTCTGGAGGCCAGAAGTCGGAGAACAACGTGCTGGCAAAGTTGCTCCTCTGAGGGCTGCGAGGGAGAATCTCCCGTGCCTCCGCCCTGGTTTCTGGTTCTTTGCTGGCGATCTTTGGCATTCCTAGGCTTGTAGATGCATCGTCCTGATCTCTGCCTTTATCTTCACATGGAGTTCTCTCCTGTGTGCATGTCTGTGTCCAAATTTCCCTTTTCATAAGGACGCCAGTCAGATGGGTTTAGAGTCCACCCTATTCCAGGATGACCTCATCTTAACTAATTACATCTGCAGTGATCCTATTTCCAGATAAGGTCACATTCTGAGGTACTGGTGGTTCAACAAAGGACTTAAATATAGGAATTGTAGGGGGACAAAATTCCACCCATAAAACTGAAGAATACTAGCTACTGCAAATATAAAATCTGCCCCTTAGGTGAAATCCCTGGTGTGACTCATCCCAAGCACAGTCGATTAGCTTCTTGTCACTCCAGATGCCCTTGTTACTCAGCAGCATGCATTTCAGGCAATTCACTTTCCTCTCTGGTCCTCAGTTTCTCTGGTTTGCAGATAAGCAGAGGGACCAGCCTGTTCTTCACCACCCTTCTTTTTCTCTATTTCCCCTTCAGGAGTGTGTCAACACTGGTAATGCTGATAGCCAAGGGGGTGCTGCCTCAGCATGCCAAGCCCCCCAAAAACATCCTGTTCAAGCCCCCCCTGGACTACCTGGACTGGATCAACAAACTCCCCCAACACCTTCACCACCAGGTCATCCACTCCTCCCCATCCTGCAGCATCAAGGTGCAGAAGGAAAAGGTATGTTTGTAGGGGCACTTCGCAGAGCCCCAGAGAACACTGGGAAATGTGTTTCCTAGCAGCCTCATGGACCACCTAAGTCTCTTCTGAGGAAGGTAACATAACATTTCATATGTGCAAGGGCCTTGGCTAACTCGCTGCTCACATCAACCCTAGAATCCTATTTGTTAGGGGAGGAAACTGAGGCCCCAGTAGATGGCACTCACAGCTAACAAGACCAAGGAGGGCAAACACTCAGCACTTTGCCATCCACCACCCCACGGTCCTATGCCTCTTCCTTCTGACTGGGTCAGACATTGCTAATCGATCACTACACCATTCCCCGCCTCCATTCTCCCACCCCACCATCCAGACCCGCCATTGCCTCAGAGCCCTTCTCCCCCACAGTTCATGGAGGGCCCTGGCCTGGCATATGCAGCTTTCTCTCAAGCCGTCTCGCTGTTTCCTCGTGCCTCTTTCTGGGCCATCGTCTTCTTCCTGGCCTTGCTTATCACACAGCTGGGCACCTTGATAAGAATCTTGGAGGGCATTGTCCTTCCCCTCCAGAACAACATCCCCATCTTCATAAAGCATCCCAGGCTGGTCCCAGGTACCATGGCTTCTAACCTCAGCAAAAACCCTGCCCTGCTGCCCTCCCCCCAGCTCACCCCAAATCTCCAGGGCTCAATTTGACCCCTGACTCAGCAGTGCTCATAGACCTCAATGTGGCTAACCCTGCCTCTACCTTAGTGGTCATCTGCTTGGGAGGTCTTCTGGGCAGTCTCATCTTCACCAGTCACCCTGGCAGCTACATAATGTCCTTGTTTGATGACCACGTGGTCCCGCTGACCCTCATCATTGTTGTGACCTTCCAGAATGTGGCTCTAGCCTGGATCTACGGAGCAAGGAGGTGATTTCCAAGCCCCAGGGCCGGCCCCACCGTGGACCCCATCCCAGATCTATAAGGAGTGTTGGAGCTTGATTTGCTCCCTCTGTCCATCCCACAGCAAGGAGGGAGGCTCATGTGAGAGCTGCGGGAGTGCAGGAGGGAGCTATCTGAGGGCAGTGGGTAGGTCCTGAAGGAACAAACTGTCATGGGCAAGTCTGAAGGCAGAGGGCTGGGGCAGTGCAATACTCCTGGATTGAGGGATTCCTGTAGGGGAGACTAGATGCAGGGCCCAGCCTCAAGGGAGGGCCTGGCAGGACCTGGCAGCCCTTAAGAGTTGAGAACTTGTGAGAAAACCAAAGAGCTGGCAGGCCTACCCTCACAAGGGCTCCAGGCCCCAGTGGCCAGAAGAAAGCTCCCTCCCAGATGTTCCTGACTATCACCCCCACCCCAGGTTCAGGGAGGAAATGTTCAGTGAGCTGGGCCGCCTGCTGTGGTCCCCCTTCACTTTCCTGCTGTGCTACGTGACCGTGCCTGGGCTGCTGGCCCTCCTCACCATCTGCCTCATGCAGCTCTACCAGAGGGTAACCCCTTACTACATTGCCTGGAATAGCAATGCGGTAAGATTCCCCTTCCCTGGCCTCCCATGCCAACCCTGGGGACCCCGTGTCATGTCTCCCATCCCACAGGACTCTGGGTCTGGGCTCCCACTACCCCCAGGAACCCTTTAATCAGCTTCTCAACCCCTGGAGAATCTGATACCCAGCAGCACATGGACTGAAGGCCCATCACCACCACTTCTTCCTCCCACCCCGTACACCCCTCTATCTGTCCCCAGAGCCAGGAAGTAAAGCAGCCCTACCTGACTAGCACCCTGGCCTGGGTCACCTTCCTCAGCATCTTCACTCTTCTGCCGATCCCAGCCCACCCGCTTCTCCACTGGTGGTACTGCCAGAACCCTGTTACCTCTGACACCTTCAAAAAGGTATCTGCGGTGCCCGCTAAGCCCTTAGAGTGGCCTAAGCACCTTCTGAGGAAGTCCAATGTCAGTTCCCAGGACAAATTCAGTGAGACCTCATCATGGAAGATCAGCCTGCCCTGGAAGAGAGGCAGTCAGAGTTTTTCCCGGTTCAGCCTTCCTCTCATTGCCTCCTGGTTCTCCATGAGCAGTAGCAGCCCGGGCCCCTCGAGGCAGGTGAGCCCAGTCTCGACAGACTTGGCCAACCATAACAGGGAGACCATGGAAGAAAAGCTGCCCAATAAATCTGTTTTGTAATTGGTGACATCACCCATTTTTCCAAGGCAACAAATCCGTCCGATAACTGGCATTAATGCCCATTTTGCTATAGGAATAATTGGTTCTGTCAGAAAGGAGGGGGAGAGAGTACACAGAAAACGTGAAACCAGCGACATCACTCATTTGGTCTTGGAAGGAAATGGGCAACCCAGGAGCTCTTTCCTCTCCTGGAATAGTACCGATTCTGCTAATAGGAAAACTCTGCTCTGGGACTGGAGAACTCGGAAGAAGAAATCAATTCAACTGCTCATAGGGCTGGAGCTAGGGTCCCCCTATTCTCTATGAAGTGGGGGAACAATTTTGGGGTGATGGAGATGGGCATCCCAACACTTTTCAGGACCCAACCTTCCAGTTATCATGGAGAGAGACAGTGTCCTCTCCTGCCCCCACCCCCACCAGCCAACTGCATCAATGATGTAGCTACCTTCTCCTGGGCTGCCCTCTCAGAATGGGGCTCAGACGACAATGCTGTGAGTCAATAAATAGTTCACTGGGACCCCAAGCATAAGCTGTGGGCACAGGGTTCTTTCTGTAAGGGGCCCAGATGTCAGCTTCCTCCCATATGTGTAAACACACACACCCTCCAAATCACCAGCCTCTGCTGAACTGAGTATCCAATCTGGTGACCTCAATCTCCCTCTGCCTTAGGGACACAGATACTGAGTCTCTAGGCCCCTCATTATCCTGGAGTTGAGCCAAACTGTCGGGAAACCTTGCAGCAATTAGTATCAATCTAGAAAGTATATTGATCCCTAAATCTAACTTGGTAACTGATGACCATACTAAGCCATCATAGGACTAAATCTGTCCCATAACTATCATCTGACTAATTCTACCAAGAGGGTAATGTGCCTAGAACAGCACCTGGTATGAAGGGCTTCCTAGTTGGCCATTATGCTTAGTTCTTATTTGGGGTAGAAGCCCTCACCCACTTGTACACTGGGGGTGGATCACCTGGTTTCCATAAGCTAGGGACCAAGGAGTCTTGGAGAACTTGGAACTTATCGGGGCTGTCTGTGGGGGTAGGTAACATCACCCTGCTTCTTTGAATGTCAGAAGGAGTTAAGGCAGCTCAGGAGGTGGAGGCGCCTCCTAGAAGTCTTACCCCTCAGTGACTTGCTGGGCAAAGACCCTCCCCCATCAAAGGTCATGGGCTTGAAAATCAATACCAGCTCCCATCACCTCCCCTCTGGTTCCTAATCAATTCTCAAATCCTTACCTGCCCTTTCACACCTTTTATTTACATCAAAGGTCTCTAAACATTCTTCATTGCACTCCCCTATTGGTGACAACTTCCTGAGAAAACATCCCCAGCATATGACTACTGTCATTCTACATACTTGATTACCAGTGAAGCTTATTTGTTTTGCTTACTTTGGTTTTTAAAAGTAGATATAAGCAGAAGTTCTAAATTTTTCTTCCTGCATCCCCAGTGTCACATCTTCTACAACCCAATTTAGAGAGCCCTGAAAAGCTCAGAGGCAGGGGCCGTATCCCTTCCTGTCCCAGAAACTCAGAGCCCCTGGCCTCCTGCCTCCTCTCTTGCTCCCCAGGGACTATCGTCTGGGATAACTCAGCTTGGGAAACAGGGGCTGGGTGGAGTGGGGATGACACCAAACTCCAGCAGGTAGAAAAGAAGCCTGGGCCCCCCCTACTCACCTTCGCTCTCACTTCTACTCTGTGTCTACTCTATGTCTCTTTTACCCTCTCAGAGTCAGGATGCACCACCATCAGCCACTGTGAACTGGGTGACAAAGGGGAAGGAGAACCAGAAAGCACCAGGGAGAGGGAGGAGATTGGGAAACTGACCCAATCAAGTTTTTTTATGAATTCCTGGGCATGCCCCTGAGATGCATATGTGTGGATCTGAATCTAAATGACATCTCAGACACATTAAGGGATCCAAACTGGCCAGTGGGTGGTCCACATGGAAGACAGATCAGAAAGGCACTGCAAGGACTTTGAAATCAAAACTGACTTTGAAATTGCAACCTACAAAAGGCTGCTCAGAACCTGCAGACTGAACGAAACCAGATCGATGAGCTGTCAAAACAAAAACATCAACATTTTGCACAGGATTTTAACAAGACCCGGAGCCTCATAAAGTAATATTCAAAATGTCCACTATACAATCCGTAATTACTCAGCATACAAAGAATCAAGAAAATCAGAACTCACATGAGAAAAGGCAGTCAACAGAAACAGAGATGACACAAATGTGGGAATTGGGTGGCAAAGACTTTAAAGCAGTATTTAAAGCATTGGAAGCAGTGTAAAGCCATGTGTCTCACTGACAGACCATAACAGGATTCTGGAACATGTGTTTTGCAGGCTTCCTGGCCTGGCGATAGATAGAAAAGAATGGAAAGTGTATGAAACTGTGAGGCACCAGACAGTATCTGACATAGGCCAGCACTTTGACTACTCAGTATCAATTTATACCAATCTACCCTTATTTAAATTTTCATACTACAGCAATAAAAACATCACCATCATTCCATCTAGTAGGGTATAACCATCCCTTGTAAAAATGAACGTGTGAAAAATAAATAAAAATAAAAATAAATGAAGGTGTGCTCACCCTCTCCCCCAAAAGTAGCAGTGAACAGTGCCTTGGACACGTGCCAGAACGTCTTATTGAGCTTCCTAGCCCTTTCTGACGGTTCCGTTTCCACAGTTCTGAGCATGGATCTAGTGGAGATGACGGCTGCACGTGCTTGACTGGATTTATCCATCCAGATGCTTTTGCTTAGGAGAGGTCACTTCATAGTCTGCACTTGTTTCCATAAGCAGGCACCTCATAGGGCTGCGTTGTCTTAGGAGTTCAGTCCTGAATATATAGTTAGGCCATTAGTCCTAGCCGACAAGTCTGGTTAAAAGTCTACTTCAGTCACTGCTGGGGTAGTGCACGCTATGGCCAGATGCCCACTTGAAGTTCACCCTGAGAGGCAGAGGACCAGTGCCACGGACTACTGGCAATTTATCTTCATCACGGTGGATGATATTTGTGTTCCACTGGATTTTCCCACCTTGGAAGCAGTTGTTTCACTAATGAGCCATACTGACTTTTGAAGTATCAAGTCGTAAGACTTTACAGGTAAAGTCCCCACTAAACCAGTAGTTTGGGTAAAGTAGTAGGCATGATCATCTCTATCTCTAATGAGTACTCAGCCACCTATCTAATTGATTGCTAAGTTTTTAGGGGCTAGGTTTATTGGGTCTGGAATTTGATTATACCCTATTTATAAATTAATAAATTAGCCTGTTCCTGTTTCATAAATCTTGGCAAAAGACACAAGATTCCTGGGTCAGAGACAAAGGATCTTATTACTACCAGCATTGCAAGCAGCATAAACAGCAGGTTTGCAGTGGTTCCCTTTTTGCCCCAAATTCCATAGTGGCAACTCAAGGGCCCAGATTGATGCCTGCACACACAGTGGGTTGTATTACAGGAGAGGAGCACTGAGCTTGCAGAGTCCACTGCTTTACAGGAAGCAACAAGCAAGGCTCTCTTTGTGTGGTGGGAGACGTTGCTTCATCTCTCAAGGTTGCCAGCTGCATAAACGACTCTGCAGAAAGAGAAATCAAGGCCTTGCAGTCATGGCACACCCAGCAAGACATGTAGGAACACAAGATACCTGTTGAGGGCAGTCTCCCAGCAAAACCCATCCCTCAGATCTACGACATCTTAGCTTCTGCCAAATTTTCACATGACTGTGCCACTCTGTCAGCCAAGCCGATTCATCTGACTGACAAAGGGTGGAACAAAATCACTTCAATTTGTCTCATTCAGCATTTAATTGAGGCTAATCTCAACAGGACTCCAGGCAGCAGGATGAGGCCAACCGTGAGTATTGACCTCAACCATCCCCTCAAGGATCCCAGGCTCTGCCAACTGTGAATAAGTCCCAGGAGTGGGAGGGGAGACCAGGAGGTCTTACTTCAGGCAGCCAGGATAGAGTCTAAGACTAATCTATCCACTGCAACCTGCGCAAAGGTGTTGAGATTGACTTTGATCTTTGGTGTCATTACCAATAATTACAGGGTGACATTAGATGGGCCCAAAGCAACCCCCATCTACAATGAACATGCCAAGGCTCACCTCCCCTGTGTATATACCTATATACATGTAACCTGAAAAGATATAGTCCCTCCACTTTTGTCATTAAACTTGATTTGAATCACCATTACGTTGTCTTGGTTAAGCCACATGAGTAGTGGCAGCGAGCAGTTTCATCTAAGACAGGAGTCAGCCAACTTTTTCTGAAAAGGACCAGATAATAAATATTGTGGGTTTTGTAGGACATATGTCTCTGTTGCATATTCATCTCTGTTTTTTGGTTGTTGTTTTTTTTTACAACTCTTTAAAAATATAAAAGTACCTTTCTTAGCTGTCAGTCTGTACAAAAACAGTTCATGGGCCAGATTTATCCCACAAGCCATGGTTTACTGACTCCTAATCTAGAACCACGTCAGTCCAATGGGAGAATTATGGTGATTAAGCCACAATCTAGTTTGAACCCCCTGCTTGCCCTGCTTGGGACCAGGTTTCCACCCAGAGAACATAACCACTAATCTGTCCAGAGGAAGAAAGGTGTGTCATTCCCAGGAATGGTCACAGGGCAGAACCCTAAATTTTCAGAATAAGTCTATATAACTCCCCCACCACTTTGGTATCCGTCATTATCTGAGAGGCATCCAAAAAGAGATGAAGCCTCTCTGGGAACTAACACATTCAGTAACCAAACAGCCTGAATAAATGTGCGGACCAGAACCAGGAAGGTGCAGTCAAAAATCTCTTTGAGCTGATTTTTTTTTTTTTTTTTTTTTTTAAAGATGACCGGTAAGGGGATCTTAACCCTTGACTTGGTGTTGTCAGCACCACGCTCAGCCAGTGAGCAAACCGGCCATCCCTATATAGGGATCCGAACCCGGGGCCTTGGTTTTATCAGCACCGCACTCTCCCGGGTGAGCCACGG